GCGTTGTACACATGTGCGCAGAAGCACTACTCACAATAGCCAAAAGGCAGAAGCGACCCTTCAGCACATGAATGGATAAACAAAATGTGATCTAAACATAAACTGAACATTGTTCATCCCTAGAATTTCCTAAAGGGAATTGAAATGGACGCTGCAATGTGGACACTGAGTGAATCATATTTCCACAAAAAGAAATGCCATGTGATGTCACTCAGGAGGGCCTAGTGGGTCCAAACCATAGAAGCAAAGTAGAATGGTGGTTGCCAGGGGGTGGGGGAAGAGGCTCAGAACAATCGCTGGATGCGCAGAGAAGCATGATGAAGGCGCTACGGAGATGGATGGAGATCCAGGCAAGTCCTGTCTGAGCTCATGTTGGAATCAGAGGCCAGTGGCCTCTGAGTGTGAATGGACTCAGTGCCCCTGAACTGTGCATTTAAGGATGGTTAAGGTGGTAAATTTTATGTGAATTTTACCACAATTTAATAAATAGCAGTACGTAAAGATTCTTCAGTTTTATCTTCAGAATCTGTCGGGAACTGCCTCCTCCTTTCGGTCTCTATTGCCGCCACCTTTGTCCAAGACTCCACCGCCCCTTGCCGGGGTCACTCCACCACTCTGCCTGTGCTTTCTTCTTGCCTCAGTCCTTGCTGCTCTTCTCCGCAGCGGCCAGGGTGAGCATTTTCAAGGAAATCATGAGGTACGGGGGAAGACACTATCATCTTTCAGAAAGACAAAGCAACACTAAAATAGAGAGAAAAAGCAAACAAAACCAAAAGCGAGTCTACGTGCCAGAACGAGGATGTGAAATGACGTCAGGCTTCCTAAGAAAAACTCTCATAGCCAGAGGACAGTGGAGAAAGGCTGTCGAGTTTCCAAGCGACAAAATGGTTTTCAACCTAGACTTCTGTTGTTGGTCAAACTACTAGTAATCAAACGAGAACGTAGAGTAAAGATACAAGATCCAGCAAACAAAACCAACCGAAACCTTCACCTCCTACACACCCTTTCTTAGGAGACTGCTGACAAGAATGCAGATTCTTACGTAATATTCACTCCTTTCCACACACTGTCCTGAGCATTTTATGTGTGGTAACTCCCTCGAGCTTGGTGGCAACCCTGTGAAGCAGGAATTGTAAAAACGTTGAGGCAGAAAGAGGTGACCTACTTGCCTATGGTCACCCACAGGGCACTGCCCTCGGGAACGCACCAAAGTGTGATTTAGCAGAAAACTCAGACACGCGTTTAACAGAAGTTACTACACCGAGAAAGACCACTACAGTCTGATGTCACACATGGAATGTAAAATACTTAAACTCAGAGAAAGAGCTGACTGTGGCTGTCCAAGGCAGGCAGGAGGGAAACTCCGTGCAGGTGTTTAAGGTGCAAACTGCAGCGGTAAGTTACATAAGTCCGGAGGATGGAATGTACAGGGCGATTCCTAGCTAACTCCGCTCTCTGGCATGTGTGAAATTTGCTGAGAGTGGATCCTGAAAGTTCTCATCACAAGGGAAAACACTTGTTTTGGAAACTATGTGAGATGATGTTAACTAAACTTCTTGTGATGGTCATTCAGCGTGTGCATGGTGACGGGGTCGGGTGTTGTCTGCTGTGCACTTTAAACTTAGATAGTGTGGGTCAATTATAGCAACGAAATTGAGGAAGGTTTCTTTCCTGTATAATTATTTTGGTATGTGTCAAGAAGTTTAAGTGAGTGAGTGACTGTATGTGACTGGAGAATCACGTTCTCATGCTTGATAGTAAAGTGAATAATAGCATCAGGTTGCAAAGTCAGTCTGCCAAGAGCATATGGAAGATACTTGACTCAATACATGTCTCTGTGTCAGCGGTTCCAAGTTCAAATCTGCACACTCATGTGTCCCTAGCCCTGGAAACATGCTTGAATCTCTGCGATACACTATGGTGGGGGTCATGGAGACGTGTCTGTGATGGATTTAAGTAAGAAATAGCAGAACAGCTCTGACAATTCCACCTTTAAGTGAATAGAGTACGCACGTGTGTTTGTGCCCATTCAGAGACTTCGAGGGTTAAAAATGTAAAATGGAATGTCTGTAAGGATGGGCTGAGGTGAGTGCTGGGGGAGGGGAAACAGCCTACTTGACAACCTTTTGTGTTTCTGAAACTTTTGCAGTGAATATTTCTTTCATTATTAACGAGTAAACATTTATTGATGTTTTCACCACACACACACACACTCTGGCTAAAATGGTGTCCTAACGCTGCACAATATCCTCTGGTAGCATCCTGCTGTGTAGAATAAGATCCAAACTCGTGTGTGGCCTCAACCCCTGTGAGATCTGCCTCCTCCGCACCCCTCACTTCGTTTTCCCTCTGTGTGCCCCCTGCTCAGCGGCCACTCTGTCATGGTCACTCCTAGGTGCTGTCTCTCTACCTGGAACTCCCTCTCTCCGTCTTCACTCAAACTTCCACTCAACTGCTGCTTCTCAGAGGCCTTCCCTGACCTCCCCCACACACACAGACACGCCACTTTACATTTCCCTGCTTTTTACAGGGCTCTGGGTATTATCTGCACTGACTCTCTCTCTTCCTGGAATGTAAGCTCCATGAGGACAGTGGCCACATCTGGCTTGCTCATCCTCGACCTCCCTGTCCCACACAGCCTAGAGCAGGGTCTAGTATAGGGCTGTGTGGTGCCTGGGCGGAGGAGGTGAGTGGTAAGAGGCTGGTAGTGTTGGGAGAATGGGGAGATGGCTGGATATTGACAAGAAGGGTAAGTGGGTGGCAGGTGACCGGGTCTGTCAGGACCATGGAAAATGACCCTCTCCCAGCTGCCTCATCTCCTGCCAGGGGTAGATGCAGTAAAGCCGATACTATGTCTGAGAGTTTACTGGGCTGTGTACTCCATACCTCAAACCTTATGTGCATGCATACCGCGCTGAATGGTCAGGTTCCTATCATGTGTTTCTGCACTCTCAGCTTTAAAGACAAGGAAATAGGGCCCCATCCCTGAGAAGAGATGGAGCCACGGCTAGACCCAAGTGGCCTTGTGTCTTTTCACGGAGCTTCACCACCCAAACACGTAGATGCAGAGCACATGTAGGAACTGGAGGGGGAATGTGGAGTGTCTCTAGTCTGGAGTCTTCAGACAAGACCTTCCAACAGGTGCAGTGAAGGAGGGAGGTGGGTGAGAGGGCGAGTGGGAACTGGGACTCCTGGGAACTGTCATGGGACTGCTGAAGGAAACACACTGGTGCGTGCTCAGACATCCAGTGGGGAGTCCTTGCTGGAACCCCATCCCAAGACACAAGGGAGCTATCTGGGCGCTGAGCCAGGAAAGTTCAATCTTTCTCCAGAGTGCTCTGTCCGTCAGTCCCAACCCCAGGCCTAGATGGTTTCTAGGGACAGAAGCCTCATATTACAGGAGAGACACTGAAGTTGCAAAATACCCAAACCCAGTGAAGCTAGGTCAGAGCAAAAAGGATCCGGGAGGAGCAGAGGCCCACAGGCCCCAAGCTTGCTGGGACCTGGGCGGTCCTGCAGCGTGGGGCCACCAGGGGGCGCCAGTCTTAAGCCCAAAGGGTCTTGGACCTTGGGTCTCGAACCCTCAGCGAAGGGTGTGTGTGCTGGCCTACCATTCAGGGAGGCCTGGCCTCCTTGAGCGAGTTCCCCAGCTGCTTCTAAGTTATCTGACTTTTTCACAGAGAGGATGTACTTTTTGTAGCATTGCGAATAAAAAGTTGGAAAAGGGTGTTTTAACGCCTTTGTAGCCTCAGGGTTCTGAGACAATTATGTTCCCACATGGAGCTTTGGGGGACATCCACCTCCTACTCCCAAGTAGACTGCAGAGAGAGTCCTTGTAATTGTTGCTTGGTGTACACCCCTTGTGAAGCTGTCTGTGAGGTCTGGCATCCAGATATGAGAAGCCTAAGTAAGGACTCTCCTCCTGGGACACTTCTGGGTGTGGCCATCAGGTTGACCCTGCAAAGACGTGCCTCAGAATGGAGCTCCAGGTGTCACTGGCCCCAGGTATGGCCTTCAGGTGTGAAAGCTACCTCAGCCATGGCATCCAGTGAGCCTCTCCCTCTGGGCCTGCGGACACCCCAGTGTCTGGCCAACCCAGTCTCTCAGAATCTGGACGGGATCCCCAGCAAAGACAAATTAACTAGGTCACCTCAAATTTGGGCCAGGCTGTCAATACACCGAGTCCGACTTGGGGACAACTCTCGGCCCCCTACCTAAATCACAGGCACCACATGGCTCTCTCCCCTCCCAGAATTTGATCCAGGCTGGGCCTTGGGGCGGGCCAATAGACCAGACAGAAGGATCCTTTCCCTTGCTCAGCCTCATCCTCACCGCCACCCCCAGAAAGCTGGGAGCTCCAGTCCCTGCTGCATGGAGGAGCTCCCAGTTCTCAAGCGGCGAGCATTTAGACATATGACAGTGTTGGTTGTGGTGAGTGGCTGTGCCCTGGCATCTAGGGGGTAGAAGCCAGGGGAGCTGGCGTTGCTGGACGTCCTGCGTGTGCAGGCCAGACCCCACACAGAGAACTATCCAGATGTCAACAGGGAAACCCCACTAGTCATACCAGCAGGACGGTCAGCACAAAGGGGTGACAAGGACAGGGGGAGGAAGGGGGGCAGGGGGAGCCCTGGGTCTGGGCAGACAGACTGGGTTCCGACGACCAGCTGTCACCTTGTACAGGTCACATAGCTCCCTGAACCTCAGTGTCCTCACTTCTGAAAAGGCCACAGGCACTGGACAGGAAGGCCACTGTAGAAGAAGATAACCCCGAACCTTGGCACAGCCGAGCTACATGATAAAGGGGGTACGGGGTATGGGGGAGCAGCAATGTCAGGGTTCAGAGTAGTGAATGTGTACATCCCCTGAGAGCTAATTTGATCTGATTAGTGGAATTCCCGAGGTGTCCGGAGACCCCAGCTTCTTTTTATTCTCTCTAGATCGGGCATATACTGGGGGGCCCAGGCCAGCAGGGAAGGGCTCTGGGAGGGCCCTGGACTCACCACTGTGACTTTCTCCATCGCTGCCAATATAGGGGTAATATTCGTGCGTCTGGCGTTGGTACAGATCTGTGTCATAGGGAACCAGGTCTTCCGACGGCTGCTGAGAAAGAAGGGTGTCAGGGGGACCCCAGCCAGGTTTGCAGCCCCCCATCTGCTGGGTCCACACCTCTCTCAGACAGAGCAGCTGTCTCCAGCCTGGAGCCCTCACTCTGTTTGAACTGGAAGAGGCCACAGAGCAAGAACAAGGACCCAGGAGACAGGGAGCCTTGGCTTCCGCAGCAAGGGTGGGATGGGCCAGCCTGGAGGTCAGAGGTCAAAAGGGTGCGGGGGGGGGCGCGGTGAGAGGATTCACCAGAGACAGTGGAGAACAGGCCAAATGATTGAAACACACTGCTGAGGGGAGCAGCAGGCGAGGCGGGCGGGGTCTGCTGAACATGTGGGTCACCTCTCTGGTGGGGGATCGAACTCATGCTGCAGTGGCTAAGGGCAGCCCCAT